GGGCCCCGCCTCAGGTGCCGCCGCAGATCCCTCTCGTGGGCGGGCGTGGAATCTGTGTTCGGGGTGTGAGGGGGAAGCCTGCTCGCTCAGGCCCTTCCCCGGGACCTCCCCCGCCCCCCGCCGTGGGGTGCCCTGCAGGTGGGCGCTGGCTGTGTTCCCCAGCAGCACCCCGCCCTTTCCGGGGGTGGTGCGGGTCAGGGGGTGGAAGAGGCCTTCCTCTGAGGCCGCCTGGTCTCTGCCGCCCCTGCCCGAACCTCAGGTTCTGAGACTCAGGAGGATGTCATCCGGGACATCGCCCGGCAGCTCGCCCAGATCGGGGACACGATGGACCGCAGGGTCCCCCAGAGTCTGGTGGACCACCTGGCGGTGCAGCTCAGGGACCGGAGCCTGTCCGACGAAGTGAGTGAGGCTCCCCCTCCCCCAGTGCCTGCTCTGGGGTCCCCGGGGAGTGGGCGGGTCTTCTGTGCCCCTTCAGACAAACCAGCCTCCCGTGAGGGGCGCAGTCCAAGACCATCGCAAAGGGGGCGGCAGTGGCAGTAGCAGTAACAGAACGGCTAAGGGTCTTCCCAGAGGATCAGGTCACTTGACATTCAAGAAACCTGAACCCTGAGCCACAGTCAAGAGTTTGGGGATAAAAGCAGCAAGAGGAGCAAAGTGGATACGCCTCGTCCAGAAACAACGTTCTCCCGCCGTAGGGGACAGCGACAGAGGACGCTGAGTCCCTTCCCCGGACGGGGCGAGGAGAGTGGTGTTTCAGCCGCCGCTCTCGGCTCCGGGGTGTCACCCACCCACTCACTCACGCTGTGGGGGTGCCCACACGGGTCCGCAGCACCATGTCCTTTCTGCAGAACTCGGGGGAGCAGGGGAAACACCCCAAGGTCAGATGCATGCCGACAGAAGTTTGAGGGGAGAGGGGTTCCATTCTGCGGACTCCCCCCTTCACTGCTGAGTAGGGACGCGTCGGTCCTCCAGGGTCCAGCCAGGCCGGGCCTCGAGCCTCCAGGGGGGCCTGTCCCTCTTCAGTGGTCTGGTCCCCTGCGCTGCGCTGCACTGCCTTGGGCGCCCCCCCACACGTCCACTTCATCTCCCACGGGAGTCCGGAGCCTGAGGGTCCTTTCCCACCACTGGCGTCGTGGGGAGCTCGCTCATTGCCAGCGGCGGCGCCCGAGAGGCAGGGGTCCTTGGTGCGGGTGCGGGCACATGATGCTTGGGGACCCTGGGTCTGGCCCGTGTCGCACTCTAGGGAGTGGTCTCACCTGCCCTTCCGGCCGCCCCTCAACACTGAATTGTTGCTCATTCCCTCTCCCTGCCACCAGGGCTGCTCTGGAACCACCTCCCCGTGACACTGGAGCGCCCTGGGGGGAAGGGTGGCGTGGCCCAGTCCTGGTTCAGGCCCCATGGGAGCCCTCTGTTCTTGCCTCTGCAGGGCCGGAGGGCGTGCCTGGCCACCGCGGTGGACCAGGTCTTGCAGGCCTGCCCTAGAGACATGGAAAGGGAGAAGACGATGCTGCTGGTGACCATGCTGCTGGCCAGGAAGGTGGCCAGTCACACTCCGTCCTTGCTGCGCGAGGTCTTCCAGACAACAGTGAATTTTATTAACCAGAACCTGCTCACCTACGTGAGAAACTTAGTCAGAAATGTAAGCTCCTCGGCACTTCCCTGCATGCTTCTGGTCTCCGCCTGCTCCCCGCACCCACCTCCCCTGAGGTCGGGAGCCTGGCCGAGCTCTCTGCCTCCTCCTCCTCCTCCTCCTCCTCCCTTCAGCCTGCGTCTGATGCCCGAGCTGCACGGAAGGCCGTAGGGCCGTCCTGCTCAGGCAGGTGGGCTCGGCCCTGCTTTCACGAGCAACACAGCGGTGTGGTAGGAGGCCCAGGGAGCCCCTGGTGTCCTTTTGAGCTTCGCCAGCTTTACTTGTAAGACGTGCTGCTGTCCGCAGGGAAGGCTCCCTTACCCTGCCCGTCGGGTGGCGACTGCGGGGCAGGCACACGGGGCGTCCGAGACCGTGGCCGAGGGGCCTGAGCTGAGCTTCTCGTCCCCTCCCAGCTTCACCTCGCCCCCAAATGAGTCTGACTACATTCTTTAAAAACACGGTGATCGAAAAAAGCTCATCAAGAAGGATGAAGGAGAGAGTGGCCCAAACGGGGGAACTGTCTAAAGCCCGCCCCGGAAACACGTCCGCCAGGCGATCACCAGGACCTCACAAGTCCCAGCGCCTCGCAGCGCTGCCCGGGAGGCAGGCGTCCTTCGAGCCGCTGCTTCCGGCTCACCGAGCCGAGTGCGGCGCAGTGGGTGTCTCGCGTCTGTGTAGTTGGCAGTCTTGGCGACTCTGGGATCTTAGGGGTCAGGAGCGTGACCCAGACATCTGACCCTCTTAATGTTGACCGATAAACCTGAAAGGCTCCTGTCTGCCATGGCAGCAGGGACACCAGGAAGGTTCCCGGGCAGCAGTTGCCAGCCAGCATCTGATGGGTGCGCTGCTGCGATGTCACGGCCGCTCCCCAAAGCCCGAAGGGCCCCAACAGCGGCTCGACTCCATGGGCTCGGTGTGGTGCCACGTGGCACCAGAAGGGACCCTGTAGGTGGGAATAGCCACATCTCGGCTCCTCTGGGGAATGCGGTTTTGTACAAAGCCCAGCTTCTTCGGGGCTGAATTCTGGTTTGTAAATTAGAACAGCTGGTTTAGACCTGAGGGAACGATCGTGGACAGAGCCGTGAAGCCCACTGTGTCAGAGGTGGGGGGGGGGGCATGGAGAACTCACAGGAGAGGACAGCAGTGAAGACCCAACTGGACTTGAAAGGTGCCAAATGAACAGTGTGCTACAGGTGTTGTTAGCAGTGCATGAAGGGCTACAGGTTCTAACTCGTCCTTGAGGCAAGTCAGAAAATCCAAGTTTCAGTTGTAGCAGAGACTGCTCCCCCATCTCCCGCAGTTGCAGGGCTCATAGTGGGGCATGCAGCCATTCGCTTGTTGACGGTCCCAGGCTCCCTTGTGAGCTGGGCATGACCTGCGACCAGCCTGACAGACCAGGCTGCAGGCCGGAGCGCGTCTCTGACCTGGGTCCCCGGAGAGAAGGAAGTCCCGTGGGCTGGGATGTGCGTGCAGATGTGGGTACAGCTCAGGAGCAGACACGGAGCAGAGAGACAGGCTCCCGGCTCCCAAGCCCTCGGTGCCGACGGTTGGCAGAAGTAGAGAGAAACGATCTTGTGTGTGTCCTATGTGGATGATCTGTCCCAGAAGCTGGGTGTATGTCCTGGTAAATGCAGTGTGTGGTCAGGTGAGGGTATGTGGAACCCCCAGCCGTTCACAGGGGCTGCTGGCAAACAGCACGGCCACGTTCACTCAGCTGTGCGCCGTCCTGGCTGCCTCCACACTGTGACACCAGGACTGAGCCTAAAGTGCCGCCTGGGCCACGGCAGAGAACGAATCCCTGGAAAAGGAAAGAAGGAGCTCGCGTTGTTTGAAGTAGGTTAGGAAAGAGGGAAAACGAGCGAAAAGGAAGTCAGAAGAAAGAGAATTTAAAATAAAAGTTGTCCCTGGCCAGGTAGGTGGTTGGAGCATCACCCAGACATGCCAGGGTTGCGGGTTCGACCCCAGGCACAGGTAGGAGTCGACCAATGATGCATCAGTAAGTGGAGCAACAAATCCATGTTTCGCTCTCTCTCAAATCAATTCCTAAAAAATTAAAGTAAAAAAGTCAGAATGATGACCAAATATCTTGGTGGTAAAAAAAATTAGAGCAGCTAATTCTGGTTCTTTCTGGCTCTAGGAGATGGACTGACGGTGGCTGCAGACAGTCCGGTCGGTACCTGCACCTGTGGAGACGGAGCCCAACCATGTACACGAAGCTCCTAGAGCAGATGGACTCAGGATAACAGCTGTTTGTTCCTTACTCTTAAAGGTGATGCTTGAAGCTGGTGCCCCACTTAGAAGTCTCCCCATTGATATACTTGAATGAAAATGGCAACGTGCACATGTTCAAACGAGTTTGATCTCATCTTGTAAATCTATGTGTTGTGCCTTTATCTTTTTGAGCTGTGTGGGTCCCCACTCAAAAATTAAAGTTAAAAGCAGATTATAAGACAGAAGATAAAAAACACACTTAATGTTTTTTGTCCAAAACAAAACACTTTATTAAAGTGTAGCCGTGGGGCACAGTCTTACAGGGGTGTCCTGTGTGGGAGAGCAAGACCCAGACGCGGGACTCATGTGCCCCTTAAAGATCCTCAAGGAACAGGGTGCATTGTGATGCTTAGGGAGGACTAGTCTTCCTGTTGAAAGACCACACAGCGCAGGAGAGTCTAGATTCAGAACATGTTGAACGTTTTCAACTTGATTTCATCAGAGTTGAGAAAAACCGCAGGCGTGTGAAAGGTGTGGAGGGGACTTAAGGGCCCATGTTATCCAGTTTCCAAAATCAAGTAGCTGCAGGCACCTGTGTCTCTGCAAGAAGTCCAAGGCTTTGATAAAAATTTCAAGGTGCTGCAGTGCCAGAAACTATTGCATATATTCCATGTGAACTGTCTGCTTGTAATCTTGAGTTTTCATCCTCCAGCCATAACCCTCAATTCTTCCAAGCTTCAGAGGCTATATCAGGAGAGAACAGGTTCTTCTAGGCATAAAAAATGAAAAAAAACATTTAAAAATTCAACAGTTGAGGTGCCTTTTCTAGTGACACAAAATAAAATGTCTTGGGGAGCATGGGCATGCGTGTGTTTAGCAGTGGTGCCACGCTGCCCGAGACTTGTTCCCCAGAGTGTTCACGGGAGTCCTGTTCACACGTGTGACAGTGGGTACTGGTCCGTGTCATGCACGTGACCCTTGCTCCATACTAACACCCTTGTTGCTGTGAACATGACACTCTGGAGAAGCTTATGAACAAGAGCGATGAAGTACCAATAAACGTTTCCTGTTACCAAACACTTCTCTGTGCCTTGAGTGTTTCAATTCATAAGAAAACAAGACATTCAGCATTAAAAACACACCACGGGGCTAGGGCACAATCTGGTACATGTTGCAAATACTAAAAGCAAATAGTTGTTGCCTCGCAGTGTGAAGGCCGTCGTTAGGGAAAAAATTTCCAGTAAGTTAGCATTGAGTGTTTTAGAGTGGACCTTCACCGCTGAAATAAGTTGAATCACGTTTATTGGACCTACACTCCCGCCCATGCCTGCATCACCAGTGGGGGGAGGGGAGGTTTTATGCCAGAAAGCACAATTTAAATACAAGCAGTCGACTAAACTAATGGAAAAGAGCTCTAAAACAGCCACAGCTTTGCTTAAATGAACCCATTAGGCCACTATTTCAATGCACGATTTGGTGGAAAGGTTTCCAGTGTGACAGACTGCTCATAAAGCAAGGCCGCCACCCGGTCAGGGCCGGGGCCAGGGCGCTGGGGTGCGTGGGAGAGGCAGCCGAACGGCGTTTCTCTACTTCCTCTAGAAATCAAACGTACCCTCGCCCGAGGGTTTAAAAAACGGCAACAAAAACAAAAGGCTTCCCCAAAAGGGGCTGGCGCAGCTGCAAGGCGGGTGGGTTCGGGCGGCCCGGCCAGTAGCCCCGGGGGCTGCGCGGCCGCGGCGCACACGCCGGAAGTGCGCCGTGCGGCCCGGCTCTGCGCCGGCCGCGCGCTCGCGAGACCACGGCCCCGACGCCCCGGGACGGCCGCCCCCAGGTCGAGGAGGCTTCTCGGGCTGAGGAGACGAGCCGGTCCGGTATGCTCAAGCCTCGTTTCCGCGCAGCCGCCACCGCGCTCGCCCCGCCGCTCCCCCGGGAACGGAACTCCGACTCCGAGCCGTTCCCCGCCGCCGCTCGGGTCCAGTCACTGGGCCGCCGTTGGAGCCGGCGATGCCGTTCTCGCGGCGGGAGTGAAGCGGCTGCGGAAAGGTACGTCCAGCCGAGAGAGGGAGACGGAAGACGGACGGGGGACCGCGGGCGGGCGGGAAAAAACCCGTGCCCTTCCCGAAGGCCCGGCCCGGGTCCTCACGCGGCTCCCGCTGGGGCCGCCAGGAGCACCTGCGGACGGCGGAGACCTGGCTCTTCCCGCCGCCGCCGCGTGTGGAGAGCTGCGGGGGCCCGTCTGTCGGCGCGCCCCCGGTCGGTTAGTGGCCCGGGCGCGGGGAGGAGGGGGCGCGGGCGGCGCGCCAGGCGGAGTTCCGGAGCGCCGGGAGCGCCCGCGGAGAGCCTTTGGCTCGGAGGACTGGCACAGTCGGCGGGGCCGGAGGGAAGAGTCACAGGTTGGTGGGTAGAGGCGGTGCCAGCTTTCCCGGGGGGCGCGACGACCCCAAACTCCCCGGTCGGGGCGGGGGGTGAGGAGCGTGGGGGGTCTGTTAGCCCGAGTCCTCGTCTTGCCCCAGACCCCCTTTGTCCGTCTCGTTGTAAAACAGACATGCGACAGGAGGCGGTGAGTGACGACCGGGCCACTTTCCGAAGTTAGTTATGGGCTCTTCCTGGGAGCACTGGGGACCCCCTCGTAAAACAGCGGCCAGAGGTCCACAAAAAGCTGTGTTATGGGCTTTTTCCTTTGGGCACCGGCGACCCTCCCCCGCGTGCCAGGCCTTGGGACGGAAGCCGTTCCGGGGCTGTGCTTCCCAGACGGTGGAAACGCTGCACAGAATCTCGAGGGCTCCCGTCCCTTCCTGCGAACACGGCGTCTCCGGTGATGCGGGAACACCCGGCAGTGCTACCCCGCCAGGCTCGGGGCTGCCGAGTCAGCGGGTGGGCCTGGGTTTGCTAGTCGTGCTCCCCACCGAGTGCGGAGAGGCCGTTTCCTGGCAACCGGGACGCCAGACGCGGGGCGGAACTGCCGCGCCGTCTCAGCGCTCCTCCCTGCTGTCTCCCGCCTCACGACCAGGGTCCCGCAGACTGTTTAACAGGGGAGACGCTACATTTTTCCTGGGAAAGGAGACAACAAACTACTTTTTTTTTTTTTTTTTTAATTTTACGTCTTTAGTTTAGACAGGGGGCGGGAGGGAGGGAGCGGGAGAGGAACAGCGGCGTGTGGCTCCTCGCGCGCGCCCCCTACTGGGGGCCTGGCGCACACGCAGGCCTGTGCCGGGACCGGGCCCAACGGCCCGACCCTGTGTGCGCGGGCCGGCGCTCGACGCGCTGAGACGCACCGGCCGACGGCAAGCCGCTCGTTTTGAGGTGGCGGGAGTTTTGATCTACTAGCCCGTGAGCGAGCCACTTCTAGCGTTGCACAGCGCGCCCTGAGGGGTCAGTCACTCCAAAGCTGCCCCCGGGGTGGGGGCGGGAAGGGCCGGGAGCCAGCGCGATCCAGGCCCGGCGGACGTCCTTGGGGGCGAGCGGCTCCGCCCGAGCCACGGCGCCGAGCTGGGCTCCTGCCGCGTGAACTCCGCTCCGGGCTGAGGGCCTGGCTGACCGTCGCGGGTCGCTTTTACGTGAAGGCAAAGACGAGCCGCGTCACTCCGACGGCAATGCCACGGTTTCCAACCCCGCTTCCCGGGGCCGCCACGGGGCGGCGCCTGCGGTCAGCCTCCGGCCGCGCGAGCCTTGGGCCTGGGGCTGGGTCCCGGGGGCCTCACCGCCCTCGGCGCCGGCAGGGGACCAGCCGGGACGGAGGGGAGAGAAAGGGGTGCCGGGCGCTGCTTTCACACCACTCGGCGCAGACTCCTGTCACGGCGCCGCGCCCGGTGCGGAGACGGAAATACCCTGCCGAGGTGACCTAAGGCGGCGAACGGGCGCCGGCTGGCGTGGCTCCGAGCACCGGCCCGCGGGCCAAGGGGTCGCCGGTTCGATTCCCAATCGGGACACACGCCTGGGCAGCGGGCCGGGTCCCCGTTGGGGGCGTGTGAGAGGCAAGCACACACGGATGCTTCTCTCCCTCGCTTAGTCCTCCCCTTCCCCTCTCTAGAAAAAGATCTTTAAAAAAATAAGAAAAGAAAAGAAAGGCCCTGAGCAGCCCTTCCCAGGCTGTGCCGTCTCCCGACGCGTCCGAAGGAGCCCCGCTCGGCGGGCCCGGGGCTCGGGCCGCTCACAGAAGGCCGTGCGAACTCGAAAAGCGTGGAGTCGGGAAAATTCACCGCCTTCGTCTGCTCGACGACTTCAGAAAACTTAGTAAACGCTCAACTGTTTGCCAAAATGCCAATTACCCACACTTTTTTAAGAAAAGGGATATTCTAATATGTACAAAGTATGCCTCCTGAACCCGAACCCACGCCCCGCCGAGCTCCCGGGGTCACTGGCAGGCGGGGAGGCCCCGCGCCCCGGCGCCGCGGCGCCGCTTCTGTGAACCGAGGGAGCCGCACTGCCCCGCGTTGTTTGAGCGACAGGGTCGTGCAGAAAGACGTAGTAAGTTGAGAAGGAAATTTTTTTACCTGCAATACCTTTTATTTCTATAAAACAGCTCTTAACATAATTTAAACATTCTACGGGCCTGACATTCGCCCACCGGTGGTCGTCCCTCCGGGAGAAGGGCGGGTGCAGGCACGGCTCCGACCCCGGCGGAGGCGGCGAGCGCGGGCCGAGGAAGCGAAGGGCGGGCGGTGGCGGCTCCACACGCCGCACCTCTGCGGGGGCTGTCCCCGCAGTGCTGCGGGCGGGCGGGCACAGAGGGGGCGGGGCGCTGGGGCGAGTGTCGGAAACGGACGCTCAAGTCGTTGTTCTTCCTCCAGAAAGCCTCCTTTCTAGAAGGCAACGATGATCGGAGGGCCCCCTAAGGCACACTACAGAAACGGATTTCCCTGGGCTCGTAATTATTTTATTATAAAGGATAAATTAGCATTCTTTAATTGGGGTTATTTCTCTCAAGAAACAGTCACTGGCTTTTTGCCAAGCTACCAGAAACCCTTCCACCCAGCAGAGCAGTTAAGAAGAGTTGTGGACTGACAAAGAGAGTTCGAGGAATGAGGACTGATGAACAGTGATCTTAATTCTGCATCTGAGTTCTCTAAGCATGTGGATTTCTTCTGAATCGTCCTTTGACCTTAGGTTCAGATGTTACTTCAGTAGGGGCAAGAAGGAATGGCTTTCTACTGCCTACTGTCTACTCCCACCAAAGAGAAAGGGGAGGTGAGAAGTGACTTTCTCAACTTAATAGCAAAATTCACAGCTGCTCTGCAGAGCAGCTTCTCGACACCACCTCTGCGGGAGGCGGGGGTAAGGCCACACAGACAGAACAGGGTGCTGGTGCACCCCGTTTCTGCTCAGGAGCTCAGGACTGGAGAGGAAGGAAGAGCCATTTGCCAGGACCCAGCACAACGTGGCGGGCCAAGGACTCTGTGTGTCACCGTCCGACAGGCGGGAGGATACAGCGGCACAGGGCAGCGTGGCACCCGCCTCCTGTTCCTTGCGTTAGCGGGGACACCAAAGATCCTAAGCCACCGGTTGCTCTCTGGCAACTCGGAGATGAACCTGGTTTGTTAGTGCTGAAATGTGCTCAGCCAGTGGGCTTGAGGACAGAGTTTGAAAGTGTGAACAATGTAAAGAAAATATTTTATTATAAAAGGGAGGAAAAATCAAGGTGATACACCAGCCTGCTCTTCCCCTGTGCAGACACAATTTTTAAAGATTTAGAGAGAGGGGACGGGAGAAAGAGGAGGAGACACACCTCCATGTGAGGGTGCCTCTTGAGCGCCCCCCACTGGGGACCTGGCTTGCAACCCAGGCATGTGCCCTGAACTGGGAATTGAACTGGTGACCCTTTGGTTTGCAGGCCAGCATTCAACCCACTGAGCCACACCAGTCAGGGCTTGACCAACTTTTACATAGTACTGCTTTAGAGAGAAGTTTTAATTTTAAAAAATAAATTTAAAAAAGAAAGTGTATTTAAAACATCAACTTTTGGTGATTCGGGTAATTTTATCACAAATTTCTGGATCTAAAAAGTCATGTGCTCCACTTGCTAAGATAAATCTGAGATGACTGGTGTCAGGCAGGTGTGCCCACATCATGACACCGAGACCCCTGGGCACAGAGAGGGAACCCCCTCCCCACCCTGTGGGGGTGGGTCGGCAGAAGGAAGAAAACCATGCTGATTTGCAACAGCACATGCCACCTAGGACCGTCTGGCTCCACATGCCGGCACTGGACTGTGCAGAGTTCAGCGAAGGAGCCGAACTAGACTCGGGGGTAACCAGGAAAGTCAAGCTTCTCTTTTCATAGCTTTTATTTCGATGACATTTAGGAGACTTTCTGTATTTATTAATAAGAATTATGATTCGGGTGGTCGGTAAGGACTGCAGGTAGCCAGCTGGCCGACCGGAAGCGGACTGAGTCCGAGGCCCTGGCACCAGACAGTGGCCCTGTGCGCCCTCGGGCCACAGCTGCAGGGCCAGAGGCTGTGTGAGCCATCGGCTCCATGGGACGGGCCTGTGAGCCGTGACCCGCCGCGGCACAGCACCCCTGGGCAGGGAGGGAGCGCGTCCCCCTCTCTGTGAAACATGACTGAGGGCAGTGTCTTTACCAGGTGAGGCTGTGAGAAGAGTCGGGGACGTGATGGGAGCAGAACACAGCCGCTCTCTCCGTGGACCCTGGAGGACACCTGGGGCGAAGGGGAGCCTGGTGGCACCTGAGACATAGGGCGGAGCCCCCTCACGTGACGGGACCGAAAGGCAGGTGAGAAGAGCCAAGGAGGAGGACTGCAGGAGGGCGCACGAGCATCAGGAAGGAGGGCGTCTGAGGGCAGGACCAGTCGTGGCTGAGGGGCACTGCCATCCCGAGGCTTCCAACGTCACCCCCCCCCCCCCCGCCAAGCTGAGGCTCTGCAGGGGGAGCAGTCTCACCCCCAGAGGGCATTTGGTGATGTCAGGGGACACTTGGCTGTCACGACCGGGGGAGGGTGCTGTGGTGTTCAGCAGGCAGAGGCCAGGGGTGGTGCTAGACACTCTACAATGCACAAGACAGCTCCCCCAGCGAAGAGTTATCGAGAGAACATTGGTGCAGGGGCTGAGTAACCAGGGCCCAGCGGAGGACCTCGCTCCTGAGACCCAGAGTCAAGCCTGAGCCCCGGCCCTCAGGACTCACAGTCAGACACCCATGAGCACTGCCACCCCCCTACCCTTCTGCCCGGTGACCGGAGCGTGCTCCACAGTCATGCAGGCAGCTGCTGACGGCTCCCACTCAGCACAGCCAACACCTAACATCCTTGCTGTCTCTCCTGAGAAACGTGCTATTTCTTCCTCAGAGCCAGCGCCACCCCGACCGCCACCACCAGGGCAGCGACAGCGGCAGCCCCTCCAAACAGTAGCGTAGTTGTGCCCCTGGCCGGTGGCAGGGCCCTCTCCTCACCCTTCGGGGAGGGCCCTGGCAGGAGACGCCCTCGCCCTGCTTCCGTCCCCTCACTCCGCAGCGCTCCCTTGGGCTCCAGCGCAGGCACCGCCTGCTCCTCTGCTTCGCCAGGTTCTACGGCCAAGGAGGGCGCCAGGCTAATAACCTTCTCCACAGCAGTCATCTCTGCAGGCCCCCGCGTCTGCAGCAAGGAGGTGGCAGTGAGCCTCGGAAGCGAGGGAGCAGGGGCTTCCGGAAACGCTTCCGGCAGCCCCCTGGCTGACAAGATTCCGGGAGCCTCGGCAGCCTCTCCAGCGCCCTCGGGGATCTCTTCCTTCTCCACGTGCACGATGTCGGAGTTGGAGGAGTTGTTCTCACTCTTCTCTCCAGCCCCGTTGCTGTCTAAGCTTTTGACCTCTTCTGGGTCCATGGCAATCTGCTGCCAGGACTCGGGACCCAGGGACACCGGGAGGCTCTCGGTGTGCCAGCTCTGGCTGGCAGACAGGGAAACCGGTAAGCTCTCCGCCTGCCAGGAGGTGGTCACAGTGGGGGACTCCGGAGGGCTGACCTGTCCAGAGTTGTCGCTGGGCAGGATGTAAATGTCATTGCTGTCTTCGGCAACGATGCCAGGGTCCTCCTCCTCCTCGGACTCAAGACTGAAGACAGTGCCCTAGAAAAAGAGCAGGAGAGTCAACACAAGGAATGGTAAACATAGTTCAAATAACTGTAAATCTGGAGCAAAGGAATAAACACAACACATTGTTTAAACCTGTAGCATTTTCTGGATTCAACGCATTTACTTATAGATCAATGCAGAGAAAAATTTTTAAGAGATGGTCCTCTGACTAGTTTCCCTGAGGCTAAAAAATGAAAAAGTTAATTCACATTTAATTGAATTTATATATATATATTCAATGCAATAATTAATGCAAACCAGCAGAGAAAACAAGGTAAGAAACTTGCTCTCAAGGAACTGACGACTTAGTAGGGCACAAAAACAATGCTATGTTCTGGCCGAAGCGCTATGAAGAGTTCAGACGGAGCCCTGGCTGGTGTGGCTCAGTGGACTGAGTGCCAGCCTGCCAACCAAAGGGTCACTGGTTCGATTCCCAGTCAGGGCGCGTGCCTGGGTTGTGAACCAGATCCCCCAAGTAGGGGGTACGGGAGAAGCAACCACACATTGATGTTTCTCTCCCTCTCCCTCCCTTCTCCTCTAAAAATAAATAGATAAAACCTTTTAAAAGAAAAAGAGCTCAGATGGAGAAATGACTCTTTGGTGCAGGCTGGAGAGGGCAGGGAGGTGGCTGGAAGCGTCACGGGGGAACCAGTGTCTACATCCCCCGACCCCTGAAGGTCGGGGAAGCATGCACGGTGAAAGGCACACGGAAGCTACAATACCCACAGGACGAGGAAAAGTGGAACAGGAAGCAGCCTAGGTTAGTGTGCAGTTCACTCGAAGAAGAACAGGGAATTCACTTAACCGACAGGACTGTGGAGGAATGTGACAGAACTAAGCAATATGAACTTCACTCAACAGGAAAAGGGGAAATGGCTACTCCGTGATGCCTTCGCTACAAAACAACAATCAGGAACACCAGAAATGAGACTCTTGCTAAAAGCAAATAGTGTCAGTTTTCATTTTCACATTTAACAGCTTAGTTTAACAGGACCCACTGTGTGCCTATGGACTAGTAGGTGCTGTGTTAGGCACCAGAGTCATAAAAGAATGAGACCTAATTTGTGTTGGTAAAAAATTCACTGTCTAGATGTAAAGACTGGCATGTGGCCCTGGCACCAGCCAGGCTCAGTGGTTTGAGCATCGGCCTGCAAACCAAAGGGTCCCCAGTTCAGTTCCCAGTCAGGGCACAGGCCTCGTTGCAGGCCAGGTCCCCAGTAGGGGGTGCGGGAGAGGCAACCACACACGGATGTTTCTCTCCCTCTCTTTTTCTCCCTTCCTTCCCCTCTCTCTAAAAATAAACAAATGACCAGCAACAAACTTCAATGTGATCAAATTTCAGACAGGTGTGTGCATAGGGTGCTAGGGGAGCCCAGAAGTTAGACACGATCAGAAAGACAGGAAGAGAGCCAACCAGTGTCAGAGATGCAGAGTTTTACAGAAAGTCTGGATGGTACTCAAATGCTGCGGAGAGTGTGACTAGCATATGTCAAGTAGATTAATTTTACTCCTTAATCAAGACCGGGACTTCCGGCCAAGATGGAGGCATAGGTAGTCACACTGTGCCTCCTCGTGCAACCAAAACTAAGAACAACAAGAATTTACAAACAAAAAGCAATCAGAACAGAGAGAAATTAACCAAACGGAAGTCTGACTACCAGGCATCCAGACCAGTAAGGAGGGGCGGAGTTGCAGGCCTACGGCGAGGGGTTGAGGGGTCCCAGCAGGAAAAAGCGGTGGCCGGCAGACGCGGGTGCGCAGGGTGCAGACGGCAGTTGGCGGACCTCAGAAGCTCGGGGGCAGACCCCGGGCGCAGGAGGCAACGAGCAGACCCAGTGAGGCTCGCAAGGCAGCTGGCTGTCCGCAGTCACACCTTTGCGCGCAGATAAACCAGGCAAAAACAGGCAGCGACACAGACTGCGCAACCCAGGGCCCCAGCGCCGGGAAGCAAGGCCTGACGGCACCGATTGAAAACACCTGTGGAAGGTGAGGCCGGGAGATTGTCTCAGCCTCACAGGAGGCTCCTTGGGGAAACCCACAGAGTCCGAGAGAGTGCACAGCCCACTCGCCCGGGAGCCAGCACCAGAAAGGCCCAAGTTGCTTGTAGGAAGCAGCAAAGGGGACTGAAGTCCTAGAGAGCGTGGAGCGGGCGCCATCGCTCTCTCAGACCCCGCCCCCACATACAACATCACAACCCAGCGACTGAGGTGCCCCGCCCTGGTGAACACCTAAGGCTCCGCCCCTCATACGTAATAGGCGCGACCAGACCAAAGTAAAAAAAAATAAAATAAAAAAGATGGCTCAAACAGAATTAAAAGCCCCAGAGCCAGTTTTTTTTAAGCGACCGAGAGGTAGCCAACCTATCAGATGCACAGTTCAAAGCACTGGTGATCAGGATGCTCACAGAATTGGTTGACTTTGGTCATAAATTAGATGGACAAATGCAGGCTACGTTAAGAGACCTTGCAGGCAAGAAGGGGCTGGAAAGAAGTATTCCAAGCCATGGAAGACAAGGACCTACATCCCTGATTGCTCTATCCAGCAAAGCTTTCATTTAGAATGGAAGGGCAGAGAAAGTGCTTCCCAGATAAAGAAGTTCATCATCACCAAGCCCTTATTTTATGAAATGTTAAAGGGACTTATCTAAGAAAAAGAAGATAAAAAATATGAACAGTAAAAAAAGACATCAAACTCTCAGTAAAAACCATACCTAAAACAAAAGCAAACTAAGCCAACAACTAGAACAGGAACAGAACCACAGAAATGGAGATCACACGGAGGGTTAGCAACAGGGAAGTGGGAGGAGAGAGGGAGAAAAGGTACAGAGAATAAGTAGCATAGATGGTAGGTAGAAAATAGACAGGGGGAGGGGAAGAATAGTATGGGAAATGTAGAAGCTAAAGAACTTATGACACATGGACATGAACTAAAGGGGGGGAATGTGGGTGGGAGGGAGTGGGCAGGGTGAGGGGAGTGAAGGGGGAAATGGGACAACTGTAATAGCATAATCAATAAAATATATCAAAAAAAGAAAAGAAAAAAGACCGGGAACTTTCCGTGTACACTAAGGGTCTAGCGTAAATCAGTAGTCCCTCTAACCACTCCACAAAAAAGGGAAGCCAGAAATACAACTAAGCAAATCACAGGACCATAATGTCAACCATTCTGAGTGCCCCCCATTCACCCTGATCCTGCTGCAATCTCAAGAAGAGGCATCAGATCGCCCAGCAATGAATATAAGCAGAAAGGCAAACCAGCACAGTAATTAAAAATGCAGTGTTTGGCCCTGGCTGGTGTGGCTCAGTGGATTGAGCGCTAGCCTACAAAACAAAGGGTCGCTGGTTTGATTCCCAGTCAGGGCACATGCCTGGGTTGTGACTCAAGTTGTGCCCCCAGTAGGGGATGTGTGAGAAGCAACCACTCGTTGATGTTAAAAAAAAAAAAAAAAGGCAGTGTTGGTAGTAAAATAAGAAGTAGCTTGAATCCCACTTCCATCACGTGCCAGCTATGCGGTTACGAATGTCTTGCTTAACTTTTTTAAAACTTTAATTTCTTCAAAAACAAAATGAGAATGACTTAATAAAATTGTCATAGAACTAGATATAGTATTTATAGTGCTCAGCTAGTGCCTTGTACACAGTAAGCACTCGAT